TGGAAATGTCTTTTATCATTTATGATAGACATGTGATAAAGCAAAGAAATTTTGGAGTAAGATTCATATTGTAATGCAGGAAATTCTTAAAACGAAGGCAAAAATGAAACCAAAACCTTCTTTGGGATTTAATGGAAAAATACTTGGGAGAAAAAAATCTGGAACTTTGATCTTATATATGTTGACAGCAGCAAGACTACTATATGCACAAAAATGGAAGGACATTTCGATCCACACCATGGACGAATGGCCACAGAAGCTGATGGAGTTGGCAGAGATGGCTAAATTGACCATTTTGATGAAAGAAAAGAATGTAAGTACTTTTGTTGCTACATGGAGACCGCTTCTGGACTTTGTGCTTGAGATGGAAAAAAAATGAAACCTTGATTTTGGGTTTTACTGATTAGATTGATTTGTTGTTACAGAAATGGCTAGTTTATAGTATTATGGAAAAGTAAAAAGTGGAGATTTGATATGAATGTTTATTCTACTGCAACAGAGGGAGTCAGAAGTCAACACTTTTTTTCTTTTTTCCTCTCCTCTCTCACTTTTCTTTCCCCTTCCTCCCCCCAATGTGTCTTACTATTTGCTTTTCTTTTTTTTATTCTATCATTTAATAAATGTTGAGAAAAAAGAAATATAACCCACCTGAATAAAAGAAGAATGCCATCAGAGTAAGCAGCAGAAAGCTGCCTCGCTCCATGATTGAGTCGGTAGGTCTGGTTGTAGTCACACTCTTCTGAGGCAGAGGTTCTGCGGGTAAGTCTATCTCATGCTTTTCTTTACTATATATGAGCCCTCTGCTATCTTAGTGACATAATCTCTTCCTCTTTTCAAGAGGAATCATGTAGAAATAGGGTGCCAGAGTTACCTGCCATGAGCAGACCGATTTCAAAACTCTTTTTTAAATGCAAATGTCAAGAATGGAGAAACACATGTCAACCAACATTTTCACAAAGAATAAGAAAAATAAATTATTGCTTGAATATACATCATAGCCAAGTTAGATGATGCATAGTATTGCAAGAGCATAGTATTGCAAGAGCAAGGACAAAGAAATTTTAAAACATAGTGAAATGCTCCCATTTGGTCCTCCAATAAAACAATAAATTGATAAATTTTCTAGATGAAAGTAATTTCCTTCCTGTAGAAATATAGAGAACTCATTGCTGATAATAGTCTATCTCTAGTAGCACAAAAATAACAGAATAAATTTGTTTTTTTCCAAACTGGTTTCAAAGAAACAGCTAGCACAAATATTAAAAGATGCCAACACTGTAATATCAAATGTAAGTTCCAGCTCCTTGAAAAAAACAAACCAACTGATGTACAGCACAGCTACATTATAACTGAATACCTAGGATGCAAAATCAACAAAGAAGAAAATAGGCAAACACTGCAGCACCAAAATAAAAGATCAGCCTGGAAAATAAGTTCAGCATGCTTAGGCATGCTAAGATCAGATACAGACAAGGTAGAACAGAGAAAGAAAAGGAAAGAAGCTGGAAAGCAAGAAGATGAAAGCAACCTTATTAAGAAAATCACCTGGAAACAAGGAAGATTAAGAAAGCATTGGAAATAATAAAACCGCAAATAACAGCTGTATCCAAACAGCTGCACACTATAGGCAGAACAACTGCACCCTATAGGCAGAATCTGCAATTTCAGTCAAATCAGAAATGTTTCTACAAATCCAACAATGGATAGAGCCAGTTGAGACCCGACAAAGAGGAAACAGTGCAGTTCTGGATGCAGCTAGGGGACAAGCCAAAGAAATACAACAAGGATGCATCTTGGATCAAAGAGTTGGATAAAAATAAAAAAGAAGTTGAAATGAAAGAACTTATAATACAGGTAGTCCTTGACTTACAACAGTTCATTTAGTGACGGTTCAAAGTTACAACGGCACTGAAAAAAATGACTTATGACCATTTTTCACACTTATGAGGGTTGCAGCATCACTGTGGTCACAAGATTTACATTCGCATGCTTAACAACTGACTCAGATTTATGACGGTTGCAGCATCCTGGAGCACATGATCCCTCGTTGCGCCGTTCTGACCAGAAAAGTCAATGGGGAAACCAGATTCACTTAACAACTATGTTACTTATTTAAGAACTGCAGTGATTCACTTAAGAAATGTGGCAAGAAAAGTCATAAAATGGAGCAAACTCACTTAACAAATTTCTCACTTAAGAGCATAAATGTTGGGTTCAATTGTGGTCATACGTTGTGGACTACCTTTAACAGCAGAAATGGCGGAGAAGAGATTAAGGAAGATCAAGAGCTGATAAGCACTAGGTGGAGACAACTGCATGGTTTTTGATTGAAATTTCTGCCTGATTTGAAAGCAAATTGGTGTTGGGGTTCTCAATCTTGAAGATTGCAACACCTCATTGATTACCTCCTCTATACAACAGGCTGTTAGGAAGGGAGACGGATGGTATCAGAATAGGATCTGAGTCTCAACTAAATTCACAACAATAGTCTTTCACCATTCAGAGGCTAAATTCTGGTTTTCTGTAGATAATGAAAAGAGGAAATAATAATAATAATTAATGGGATAATCCCTGCAGATTTGGCTAATCTATTAAATCTATGAAAGATTAAACTAGTCTAGAGAAAATAACTTGGGGGAACATGATGGCAGTAGTCCAGTACTTGAAGAACTACAACAAAAAGGAGGTGGTCAATTTATTTTCCAAAGCACCAAGGGGCAGGACAAGAAACAATGGATGAAAACTTATCAAGGAGAGAAGCAACCTGGAATTAACTTCCTAACATTGTGGACAATTAACCAGTGGAACAGTGGGATTCAAAAAGTTTTACCACCAGTTCGGTGGATGTGGCTTGGTGGGCGCGCTTTGCACGCGTGCGCACACTTTGCGTGCATATGCATGCCAAATGCACATTTTGCACAGACGTAGAGGCATTCCAACTCACCTCTTGCAAGGCTGCACTCTCCCTGTCGCTTCAGCAGTTGCAGGATGACACTCTGCTGTCCTGGGCAAAGCAGCTGAGCTTCAAAAGCAGGGAATAAAGATAAGTATGGGATCCCAGGCAGGTGGGTGGGCCCAACAGCAGAGTGTGCGGAGAGAACCAGTTTGGTCTCCGCTGCTCATTGCTGCTATCGGCTAGGCAGAACCAGGCCAAACCGGTAGAATACCACCACTGTATCAGAAGTTGTGGGTGCTTCATCACTGGAGGGTTTTAAGAAGAGGCTGGACAGTCACTTGTCTGAAATGGGTTAAGGTCTCCTGCTTGAGCAGGATGGTTGGGCCAGAAGACTTCCAAGCCCCTTCCAGCCCCATTCTGATTAATAATTAAAATATCCAGATACAGTTTGCAAGGCTGCATAATGTGTGAAATGAGAGAAGGAAGAAAGAAACAACCAACTTTCATTCTCACATTCCCCTTTCTTTCTCAAAGAATCAAACTTAATTAGAACGGAGCAGAACATAAACCTAGAGCTAAGGCTAAAGCGATGAAACTTAAACCTACTTCTCTTTTCAGCACAGACTGGATTCTCTCTCTCTCTTTCTCTCTCTCTCTCTCTCTCTCTCTCTCTCTCTCTCTCTCTCTCACACACACACACACACACACACACAAAACAAAACCCCTTCTCACTTCTAGCAACCAATACTTGGTTTCTTAAACACTGAAGAAGAATTTGTCAAGATATGTCAATTGCTGTTAAGTTTGCAATGTTGTATTTAGCAAGGGAATAATATGGCTGTACAGAGAACTATGCAGGGAAAGGACCATGTCCATGAGATATTTTCACTTTCAATGTGGGCCTGCATTGTTGATGTATGAAGTAGAGAATGGGTTGTTTGAGGTTCAGAAAAAGAAATGGAAAAATTCACATTTTCTGTATACAATCTCCATGACTACCTATGCATTTATGCTCCTTAAGTTATCCAGCTCCTACTTTAGAGATGAATGTCATCAAAGGTGCATTCATTATGAAAAGGGAAATACGTGATTTGGGTCTCATGTCAGAAGATGATTGAGAAATCTCATATTTGAATCCTGCATAAAGATAACCAAAACCTTACTGAGAATGTTCTGTCTTGAGGGAATGTATTTTCTGCAGAAGTGCTTTTGTCATGAGGAAAAACATCCTCATTTATGTGGTACCAGTAACCAACCTTTAATTATTGTCTCTTACCAAGAATCCAAAAATATATATTATCAATGCATAGCAATATGTACCCAATTGCATATTTACCGTTATGAAGTTACTGTGCCTTTTAAAATGCAATAAAACTATAAATGTATGCCAATGTGAGCCAGTTTGGTGTAGCACAGGCTAAAAAGCAGGAGACCAGGAGTTCTAGACCCACCTTAGATATGAAGTCAGCTAATTGTTTTTGGCCAGTCACTGTTAGGAAGGAGGCAAGGGCAAATTACTTCTAAAAACATATGTGCCAAGAAAAACGCACAAACAAGTTGAGGCAGTTGCAATGAGTCAACTTTGACTCAAACAAACTAAACAAAAAAAAGTATGCTGATATATTGCTTTAAAGAAAAGATTCATGGAGAGATAATGCTTTAGGTTTTTTATTTATAAATCAGATTAGGACATTTAATAGAGCAATAGTGCAGAAGAAGAGGGAAGAACAGATATTTTCATGGGGTAGTTTATGAACAAGGTGTCAAGATTGTGGGATACACTCTCACAAATGTTCTTTAATCTTCTGCATCTTCAAATTTCACACATTCTCCAAGATATCTCAGCCGAAGTTTTCTACCACTTTTACTGATGGGAAAACAGAACCAAAAATTAAAAATAAGAACCACAGGAAGTGCATCCACCATCTGGGCCCAGCCAAGAAAAAAGACTAGAATAATTAGCAGTATTATTTGTGATCTCCTGAAACTGGCAAGTTGGCTATTTTTCACCCTCCCTTTAAAATTAGTAAAACTGACATAAGCTATCTGGGACAGACAATGTTTTCTGAGAGAATTTTAAAGAAGGATCAATGTTCATATTTATTTTATTAAAACCTAAAAATCCAGGGTTGCTTATACAAATACTAGATTTTCCAACTGTATGGAATGAACCGTATACTTACATATATGCATTGCAGAAGGCACATTTGTTGCTATAGGTTTTTCCATCAGAGCCACAGTGGGCTTGATATTCCAGGGTGCAGATTTTGCTTGGGTAGTTCTTACAATACTCCTATGGAAAGAAGCAAATGATTCATTTCATAGGACTACCCTGTTAAGACCAATGATAAGTTGAATAACCCGAGCTAAACTGATTATCTCTTATCTTGTCAAGTTGTAATTCAGCAGAGTTCACTTCTGCCTTCACGCATCAGCAATGCTGGAAAATGGATCTGTGGTTTTTAGGAATTATAATCTTACAGTCTTTATATTGCTATGCAGATAAATTCTGCCTGTTTTGCAACCTCCCTCCCAACATTAAATACATATAGACATAAGATACATTGAAAGAAAAAGCTCCACAACAGTAATACAAAACATTGTTTAGTTTGTTGTCGTTTTGGTTTTAATTGCATGCTGTTCCCCTAAAGGGCTTAAGAGGGTAAGCAGGTTGGGAGAGGGAGTGGATAAAAGTAGAAGACCTGGCCTGAAATATGTTCCAAATCTTATTGTATCTAAGGATACAATATGTTGGCAATAAAGGATGTGATGGTAAGGAGGGAGAGGCATGAGGTTATTATGTATCCACATTTCTGGGTTCTACACAGAAACTTCAATTAATAATTAAAATCTGGTACTCACCCTTAAATTGATTTTATGGGCAGCAATGTCTGTAAAACAAAACATACAAATGAAAACATATGAAACATCTCAATGTTTATCTCCTATTTTTTATTTATTATTTACTTGTGTTTGTATGTGCCCTTCTCCTTCCCTCCAATTAAACTCCTTGAGCAGTTAAATAAAGATAATAAAAACACAAAAATCCAGTTAAAAACTAATGTATAGTACTAATAAAGTGGACAAGAATATTGTTAGAGAGTTCAATATTGTTGATTTCTGCAGGAATTCTGCTTATTTACACTTGAAAGGATCACTTTATTCCAACTATTGGGAATGCTGAGCACTGGTGTATCCACTCCCCAAATGGAAGGTGATCTTGTGATCCCTTACTTGTCTAAAACTAAATATAAATAATAAATAAAATAAATGTAATGGGCTCACTTCCTCACAATGCCTAATCAGCTGGTATTGACGTTTGAATTGATTTTTAGGACAGCTATATCTAGAATTAAAACATACTAAATTATTGAAATGGGTCCATATTATCTCCTATATTTTAAAAATTTTAATGTATGCTTGTATGTGCCCTGTCCTTTTGCTGCCTCCCTGAAATTAAAATTCTTAACCAGCTGAGCAACAGCTGAATAAGCTTCCAGTAAAATAGCCAATTCTGCATCAATAACCTACATTTTTTATTTGCTTCCTGTGCCGATTCCTCTGACCAAGAATTATTTCTCACTGAACCAGCCTTGGAGACATCTGTGGATGATTGTCTCTTTTTTCCCTGGGGATAAAGGGGTTCTAAATCGGTCAAAAAAGGAAAGGTTGGATTAGTAAGCAGAACTTACTGGAGTAAAGAAAGAAGAATAGCAGAGTGAACAGCAGAAAGCTTCCTGGCTTCATGATTCCTCACTGAACTTGGTTGAGGTACAACTCTTTGGAGCAGCTGATGCTGAAGGTGAGGCCTCAAATGTTTCCCCTGTCCAACCAGGCTATATATGCATACCCTGACTACTTTGGTGATGAAATCTCTCCCTTCCAGATGCAATTGGGCGTGGAATTGGCTGTTTCTGAAGTCTGTGGCCAGCTGATCAGTTTGCAAACTTCCTTTCACACAATTGACCCAGGATTCAGGTAGTGTATGGCAACCAGATGTAACAGAGTAGTAGCAGTTATAAATTGTCTTGATTAGGACCACTCGGCTCTTTTTATTGTCTTGGGAACCAATTCTTAGAATCCAAAGTTACCCTTCCATTTTCTTTTCCCTTTAGAGCCCCCAATCCCTCTGTCCGTTCCTATGTGGAGACTGGCTTTAACCAAAGAAATAAACAATATGTGACAAGTTTCTAATACTCTCTGTAAAAAAATGTATCGGTTGGCCTAGATAATGTTTATAAGGTGCTTGGATGATTTCTGAGTTGCTGTTAAGAATGATTTTGTGGCCAAATCTTAGGCCTCTCAGTTTTGGAGTCTCCAAATCCTCTCTTCTAGTTCTAAAGGGGAGGTTTTTAGGAAGTGCTAGGACTGGTATTCCTGAAAGACCCAATTGTACGATGAAGTCCAAAGGAATAATCCTTTATCATTAGGATCAGAGGTGGTATTCAGCAGGCTCTGACCAGTTCTGTAGAACCGGTAGCGGGAATTTTGAGTAGTTTGAAGGTCTGGCAAATATCACCTCCGACAGGCCCCGCCCCCATCTATTCTCTGTCTCCCGAGTCCCAGATGATGAGCTGGGTTTTCTTTTGTTGCCCTGTACAGGAGAATGGAGCTGGGAAGCAGGTTAGTGGGGTGGGAAGGGAATGGGGATTTACAGTAACCTTCCCCTGCCATGCCCACCAAGCCATGCCCACCACACCATGCCCATCAAGCCATACCCATAAAACCGGTGGTAAAAAAAATTTGAATCCCACCACTGATTGGGATCTCATTTTTCTGAAACTAGATTAGCCCTTCTACAAAGAGATCACTTCTGGTGTTTCTCTAGCCTTGGATCAGTTCCAGATCATTTCCTTTGCACAGATTGCCATTCCTGCATGGAAGTCTATCATAAATAAAAAATTACCAATGAAATAGTGTTCGGAATGCCACTATTTCTGAGACACAAACGGATTATCAATTTGAATTTTTCTTAGAAGGCAAAGGTAACATAATTTTCTCTGATTAGAGGACATTATTAGGCTGAATAGAAGAAGGCAGGATGGTTAACAAGAATCCATTTTATTAAAAATAGAATGAATTTGATTAAAATAGTATATTAATATTTGTATGACGTTTGGAATAATGACCATTTGCAAGGATTTTAATCTCGTGGAGTTCTCCTGGACCTCATCAGACCCATTTCTTAGGTGATGGGACATACAGCATGCCTCTCCTGTTGGGATGTGTAACAGGAGGCAGGATTGTGACTGTCCGATAAATAAATAAAGTAAATACTAAATAAATTGAACTTCCTATGTTGATTTCTTGACATTCTGTCTCACAGCCCCAACTCCAGTATGGTATTCTAGTGATGTAATAAAGAGGGCCATTTTTCTTCTACCAAAACCCCCAAGTCTTTCATTTCATTCTTTTAAACCTTCCTTTTATTTGACATTACCATCTTGCTCACATTTCTATGCCTCTTCTGAGTTCCTTCTTAACTGTTTTAGAAACACATTGCAAAGAGAACAAAAATAAGCACAGTTGGCAAGCAAGGTGTTAATTGCTGTCTCAGACAAGGAAGTGCAGTATAGTAGGAGGGAAGCCAGATCCTGTATCTCTGGCTGAAAAACTAGCAGCAAGGGTCCCTAAGAGCTGGGTGACAAATAAATTGTATAAATTATTAATAGTCTTAATCGCAGGCAAACCATTTAAGATGGCTGATGGGAATCCCACAAAGGAAAATCTGGTTAATGATATTTAATAATAAAAATAGCTCTGCAGTAAATCAGTCCAGAATTAGTTGATGATGTTATCCATTCAGTCATGTCCAATTCTTGGTGATGCTATGGGCCAGGTCTCCCCACATCTTCCAATCTTGTGCTACTTCTTTGAGTTGTTCTATAATATGGCTGGGGTCCATGCTTTGATCGTGTCCAGCTATTGTGTTCTCTGGCAGCCTGATTTCCTTTTACGACCAACTCTTCCTAGCAAAATTGCCTTCTCCAGTAAATTCCCCCACAGGACTCCTTCCTACTTAGACTTATACAAAAACTTCCTATTTATAAACAGGTATTTTGAGGAGTCATGCCATTGTGGTGAGCGGTTATATAAATATGATAATTAGTTAATTGTACAGATTTCATCATCACCCTTTCAGTACCTGCCATATTTTGTGTGCATGTATGCATGTGTGTGTTTGCGTGTTTAAGGGCATCAGCGTTCCAAAACTTCCAGATTCCTGTATCAAATAATTTTATTACATTTTACAAAGCATACACAATATACTGTATATAATGTTGTGCAGTTCAGATAATGGCAAGAAATAAAAGGCCTAGGAATTAGCTCCTTAGTTATATTTGGAAAAATGGTAGGTCTATTTTTTGTGTAGAGCAGTACCAATAACAATAGCACTTAGACTTAAATACCACTTCATAGTGCTTTAAAGGTTTGCCTGCAATACTGCATTCTAACCACTGCATCACCTGGGTTCCAATTTTTGTATATTCACAACCCCCCTAGATAATAGACTGGATTGAGATCTGAAATAATTAGTTTTGGTTTTGCCCTTTGTCAGTGATCCAGTACTGGTAGTTGCTACTTTGGAGAACTAACCATTTTTTCCAGGTTTTAGTTTCTTGTAAAAACACATGAACACCTGGTTCACAATGGTTGCAGCACAATCAAGGTGCACGTTTACCTTGAGCAATTCACTTCCTCTTCTGTAAACTGATATCGTGACCATCCAGAATCTTAATTGTGCAATTGTACAAATCTTAATCTTCCATTGCATAAATGTGATTCTTCTCTTGTCTTAAGTGCTTCTTCAACTAAAATACCATGCAATCCCATCAGGGTTTTAAAATGTTCTTCAGTTCACAATAAAACGTTAGCAGTTCAGTTCTCTCATCTCGCACATGATTCATTAGTCTGGTAAGTGAAAATAATAGATTTGGATCTGTTAGGAGATTCAGGAATAAACAGCAGTTCACATCAACTCCCAGCATTTTAATATAAGCAGCAACAAATTCAAAGTTTTCAGTGATTTTGTGGAATAGGTCATAAACTCCTTTCATTTCTTTTGATGTTCAAAGCAAATTCTTTCATATTAAAGATTCCTGTTCTTATTGTATCTGTTTGTGGTACTAAATTCTATTTGATGGTTTTGGTGGGAGTTAGTAAATAATAAGGTTGGTCCTGGAAATCTGAATTTTGCCCATTTATCCATAGTCTAATTTATTTAGAACTTCCTTAGTTATATTTTTGTTCTTGGACATTTAGAATATTTCTGAAACCCATCATTGGTTTCTTCATTAACCCTGTGGTCTAACTGAATTTTTAGTTTTGCAAAGCAGAATTGTTGGTGTCAAACGAAATGGAGCAACAATTGCATTGTTTTAAAACCACACTGTGTTTGTATCGCAACATTTCCTGGCTGTACAGCTGGGCCCCAGGATGGATATATAGCTTTGGGTGGTTAAAATGGACATGGACTAGAGAAGTAATAGTGAATAAACATTATTTAACTGCTAGAACCTTAAACTTTTAGCCACACCTTTCCCCACAAATTTTAAACTTTACCGATCTGTTAGAATATATATAGATAGATAAGAAAATATACACACACATATATATATAAGAAAACATATATAGAGATATATATACATACATATACATATATATA